TCATATTTTTTTAGAGAGAGAAAAATTAATTTGACAAATCTCTATATATAAAAGCCTAATATGCTGTGTCCATTTGACCATTCGACCAGTCACTATGACGCACACTGACCACCAGGGGGCAGACGCTCCAACCAGTAGGTTAGCTTGCTGCTCTGGTTTGGTCCAGCCGATTGGAACTGGGTGAGATGGGCCGGACACACCTGGAGCCATCCCGCGGCCCCTCCCCAGCCCCAATCGTGCACCGGTGGATTGACCTCTTGCAATCTAGGACCCCTCAGGAGATGTCGGAAAGCCAGTTTTGGCCCAATCCCCGCAGGCCAGGCCGAGGAACCCCACCGGTGCACAAATCCATGCACTGGACCTCTAGTATATTAATAAAAACCTCTAACAGCCTGGTCAGCATGGCTCAGTGGTTGAGCATCAACCTATGAACTAGGAGGTCATGGTTTGATTCCTGGTCAGAGCACATGCCCAGGTTGTGGGCGCAATCCCTAGTGAGGGGTGTGCAGGATACAGTCGATCAATGATTCTCTCTCATCATTGATGTTTCTCTCTCCCCCTCTTCCTTCCTCTCTGAAATCAATAAAAATATATTAAGACATAAAACAAAAAAACCTATAGCAAACATCATATGGTGAAGTGTTGAAAGTTTTCCTTAGTGTTTGGAATCAGACAAAGTTTCCAGCTTTCAATACCTCTATGCCATATCATATTAGAAGTAGTATCCAAAGCAGTAAGGCAAGAAAAAGAAATACAAGGTATAAAGATTAGAAAGGAAGAAATAAAACTCATTATTGATATGAATGTGTACAGGGAATTAAGAGAGTCTATAGATTATTAGAATCAATAAGTGCAGGTAATAAAGCTGCTGGATAAAAAATCAGTAAAATCATTTGTATTCCTATTTACCAGCAATGAACAAAATGAAGATTTTTTAACATGCTATTTACAATAAATTTAACAAATGCTGTGTGATACCTAAGCAACAAATATAAGATATTGTTAGATAAATTGAAAGAGATCTAAATAAGAAATATCATATTTATAGATTGTTGGAAGATTCAGTATTGGAAAGGTATAAATTATTCCCAAATTGATATATGGATTCATAGTCAAATATTAACAATTTTATTCTAAATTTTATATGGAAACGCTAAGGTTAGATTCTAAAGTTCGTATGGAAATAGCTAAAATAGAAGAAGAATAAGGTAGGAGGATTTGTTCTATATGATAGGAAGGTTTACTATAAGGCTAGAGTAATTAGAATTATTAGTGCGAGGACAAACAAGCACTAAAACAGACTCGAGAATCCAGAAATAGATCCACACATTTATGGACACTTGATTTGCATCAGACGTGGCACTGCAGAGTTGTAGGGAAATGACAGTATTCTTCATAGATTGTTTGAGAATATTTATTTGAGTAAAAACTAAACCTGACCCCTATCATATTACAGGCACAAAAGTAAATTCCAGATGGATCAATACATTCAATATGAAAGGCAAAACAATAAATCTTCTAGTATTTATATTATAGAATATCTTCATGATCTTGGGTTAGAGGAAAATTTCTTAAACAGGATGCAAAAAGCACTAACCATACAGGAACTATTAATAACTTGGACTGTGTTCAAAGTAAAGACTGTGTTTATCAAAAAATACTATTAAGAGTGGGAGAGGAGCCCAGGCGGGGTAGCTCAGTGGTTGAGCATCTACCTATGAACCAGGCGGTCATGGTTTGATTCCCGGTCAGGGCACATGCCTAGGTTTCGGGTTTGATCCCCGGGGTGGGGTTGGGGAGATGGTGCAGGAGGCAGCCGATCAGTGATTCTCTCTCATCATTGATGTTTCCATCTCTCTCTGCCTCTTACTTCCTGTCTCTGAAATCAATAAAAGTATTTTTTGAAAAAAGATTGGGAGAGGATATTTGCAGTGCAACCAAGAAAGAACTTGCCAAAATATATAATGAACTACATAGAAACCAATGAGATTTGAACAATCACTTCACAAAAGAGGGTATCCAAATGTCCAAAAAAATATGAAAAGATATTCAACCACATTGGTAATTGTGAAAATGCAAATTAAAACAATGGATGATTTTAGACACTCACCAGATTGTCTCTAAAATTAAAGATGAATAACACCAAATGTTGGCCAGGTTGTGAAGTAGCAGGAATGTCAGACCCTGAAGTTTAAATTGGTACATCCACGTTAGTAGATAATGCCAAACTTTATCCAAAGTTGAACATACACTTACCCTATAACTGAACATTTTCATTCTAGAAATATACTTAACAGAAATACATGCAGTGAAGAGAAAGGCACAGGAATATTCACAGCAGCCTAATTCAAAATAGCCAAAGATTAGAATAAGCCCAAATGACCACTGACAGTAAAAAGGAGAAATAAGTTGGGCCATATTTATATAGTGGAGTTGTATACAATAATGACATTGAACTACAGCAACAGGAAAAGCATGGGTGAATGTTGAACAAAAGAAGCTGGACAGAAATGCATATTTGATTGTTCCAATTCCATAAAGTTAAAAAATGAAAACGAGTGCTTGTGGATGCATGCTTACATGGTAAAACTATAAATAACAGTAAGAAGATGATTTCAGTGAAATTCAAGAGAATGATTTTTGGGGAGAAGACAGAGACTATAATTATTAGGTTCTATTTATTGACCTGAGTGGTGATTATATGGGCATTTGCTTTTTAATAAATCACTGGGTTACATGTTTGTGTACTTTTCTGTATGTCTATCATACTTCACAATAACAAAGGTTAAGAAAGTACCTAGTCATAGTGGCTCAGTTGGTTGAGTATCATCCTGTACACTGAAAGGTTGCTGGTTCAATTCTCAGTCAGGGCATATATAGAAGACAGCCAATAGATTCTCTCTCTCTCTCTCTCTCTCTCTCTCTCTCTCTAGGTTGAGGACTTTTTTTTAAAAGTTAAGAAACTTATAAACCTACAAACCCAGAGATTTTTATAGGACTTTCTGAAGCTAGAAAACACATTAACTGACTTTGCTGATTCATGAAAGCTAAAGTTGAACTTACTAATGGGGAATGCTGAGCTCCAGCACAGAATCCTCCCTCAAAAAGCAAAGGAATTGGTAGCACCAGTTGAGAGAATTGGGGACTGTGGGTTGGGTGGGGGAAGGGAGATGGGCACTGAGCCTAAATAAGGAGACTGGGTGAAAGCTTTTGGAAAGGCAGTTAAAGTCCTGGTTGCTGGTGAGCAACTACCTCTTCTCCAAGTCTGGAGGCTAATCTCTAAAAGGTAAACCAAACAATTTCTGGAGGGGGGATACCGTGCAATTGAGGGGTCAGTACCTTACCAAAAGAATTGAAAAATAAGTGACTATATGCATGCATACTCAATACTGGTAGAGAGAATTCTCTAAAACAGGCCCAATCTGATCACTCTATCTAAAGCTCCAAGTCAACAGTCCACCCACCAACTCTGAAAGCTTTTGAGTCCCTCACTCTTAATCATGAGTAAACATGAAGGATTGCTAGACACTCAGGAAGGTATCTAAGAGACAACAGCAAAAAGCAACTTGAATGAACTTGAGATTCTGAAGAAAATATAAAACTTAAAAAAGGAAAAACTGTAATATCTCTAGAAAGATATAGGAATATATTGAATCCATTAAAAAATGTAATGCTCTTATTAAGAGGATTGTAAGCTGTTTGTTCTGTCCTTTGTTTTTGTTCCTTGTTTTCAATGTCATTTGGTCTACAAAAAAAAATATCTTTTTTTTTTGTCTAATTTTATTTTCATGATCTCTGGGGATAAAACATGTTGGATAATAATAGATGTGAATTAGTATAAAACCATAAACATTCAACAAGTGGAAAAATGACTGACAAGAAGTCCATAATTGAACATTCTGTCAGGATGCCGGGGGGTTGTTTTCTGAGCTGATCAAGATAACAGCCTGCTTCTCCCATTGCATTTCACTTTGATTTTTTTTCTCTCTTCCATGTAAACTTAAATGCTCTTCCCATATTCCCTCTCTCCATCTCCTTGTTTCTTGGTGTCTCTTCTCCCTGAAGATCACTACATTTCAAGCTATCAGAAAGGTATCATACTAATGTGTTAAGAGCTTAATATTCACTGTCTGTCCCACTAAAAAGTCTATCAGACTTTTTTAGTTGTAGTTGAACACCTTCAGACAGGGTCTTCATCCTGCCTTTCTGTTTTGATGTATATGTTTTCCCTGGACCTGCTGTATGATCCTGCAGGATATCGAGAGCTGGGGGATATGGGAGGTGGGGGTGCCGTGTGGCGGGGGAGGCCCCATTTCTTTTTCTGGCTGTTGAGTGTTGTCACATGGTGCATGCTGGACCTTGGCTTCTCATGTGTGAGCTGTTTTCTGAATCTTAGGTGAGAAAAGGCCATGAAATCATGCATTCACTTTTGTGATGTTGTTTATGAAAAGCCTCAACCCGTCATCATGATTTGTACTGCACAGTTGTCAATGGTAGGAAATCCTCACCAGTTTGGAAGTGAGGATTATAGAGTGAACGTAGCCGTAGCCCTCACTAAGTTCTGGAGGCGCCTGATGCTGTGTTTGCATGCAGAAGACAGCTGCTCAAATCAACACTTGCCATTCGCAGGCCAACCCTGCGTCCTAAGGTGGCCCACAGCTTTCTCAAAAGAGATCTTTGCTGTCGCAACTGTCTTTGTTTATATGTGTGTGTTACACTCTTCTCTGTGCTCTACATTTCAGAACCGCAAATAAGTTCCTTCCTCTCATAGCTGTGCCCATGTGGCCCCTCCATTTTTTACTTCATCTTTTTCTCTTGTGGTTATTTTTTTTCTCTTGCTCCTCAGAACTTCCTGAGATTTTTATTTAAACAAACTTGAGCCTTGATTTCTTTTTTTTAATGACAGTTTCTTTAACTTAGAAAGCTGCTTCATCCTGTATTTTTTAAACTTAATATGTTAACACATTCCTTTAATTCACTAATTCTTTGTATTTTTAAAGGACTCTCTGCAGTTCGAAAGGAGATCATCAAGAATAAAATCAGGGCCATTGGGAAGATGGCACGGGTCTTTTCAGTTCTTCGGTAAGGATGTCTGTCGTTAACGTGTGGGAATGAAAGCATTTGAGAGTACATTAGAAGCTGGTTTCGGAACAGAATTTTTAGAATTAGAATTTGGTATTAGAACTGTAAGTCAAGTGCAGATTAGAATCAGACCTATATGTTAGAATGACTAGCAATGTTCTGGTAAACATTCACTTGGTATGAACTCAAATGCAGTAGTTTAGTGTGGATTCTGGAGCCACTATGAATACATCCTGGCTCTGTATGAATACATCCTTAGCTGTGTGATCTTATGCCTCATTTTTCTTGTCTATAAAAGAGTGATTAAAAACAAAACCTGCTTTACATGGTTATTAAGAGGATTAAATGAGATAATATATGGGAAGCATTAGAATAACACCTGGTTATTAAGTGTCCTTAATTGAAAAGTAAGACCTGGCAGATTCTTTAAAATTGGAATATTTGGAGAAAATATCCCTTTCTTTGGTTCAGGGAAGGGGCAGGGAGAAGGAGAACCTGTTCTCTATCCCTATGTATCGTAACTTCCTTTAAGTACCTTTGAATTGCTGAGTGGTAAACACCTGGCATTAACCCAGGGCTTTGCTCTTCCTTCGCAGGGAAGAAAGTGAGAGTGTGCTGACTCTCAAGGGCCTGACTCCTACAGGGACACTCCCTCTGGGTGTCCTCTCAGGGGGAAAGCAGACTATTGAGACAGGTGAGTGTGAGGAATGCTCCTTTCAAGGAAGGAGTGCTCCTGTTACCTAGCAGTCAGTTAAAATGAAAAATTGGGGCTCCCTCAATAAAAATATGAAATCTTGCCATTTGTGACAACATGGATGAAGCTGGAGGGTATTATGCTAAGTGAAATAAGTCAGACTGAGAAAGACAAACACCATATAATTTCACTTATATGTGGAATATTTTAAAAAAATTAACAAACTAAACAGACTCATAGATACAGAGAACAAACTGATGGTTATCAGAGGGAAGGGGGAGGAGGGAGGCACAAAGGTGAAGGGGGAGAAAGGTACAAACTTCTAATTATAAAATAAGTCACGGGGATGCAATGTACAACACACGGAATATAACCAATAATATTGTAATAACTATGTATGGCGACAGATGGTTACTAGACTTATCATGGTGATCACTTCATAAGGTATATAAATGTAGAATCACTATGTTGTACACCCGAAACTAATATACTATTAAATGTCAACTATACTTTAATTAAAAAATAATTTTTTTAATTAGGACTTCTTTTAATAAATGTTACTGGAGCAACTGGGGGAAAAATTAATCTTGACTCTTCTCTTCATATACAAAAAATCAATTCAAAATGAATTACAACTTAGATGTAAAAGGTAAAAGCAGTGAAACTCCTCTAAGAGAAAGAATGGAGAATAGGCATTGAAGCAGCTAAAGAGCCCTTAAATAGAACACAAAAAGTACTAATCTTAAAAGAAAAAATAATTAAATTTTATTAAAATTAAGAATTTCTATTCACAAAAGTGCATGATTAAGAAAGGGAAAAGGCAAACGATAAATTGAGAGATTTTTGCAATACATAGTCTGACAAAGGACTTGTATTCAGAATATAATACATAACTATAACTCAATAAGAAAAATGCAAGCAATCAATGTTTTTAAAATGGTCCAAAGAGTTTAACTGGCACGTCACAGAAGAGAGTATCAAAATGAAAAAGTCTGACAAGTGCTCGCTTTGGCAGCACATATACTAAAATTGAAACAGAATATTAGCATGGCCCCTGCACAGGAATGACACACAAATTTGTGAAACATAAAAAAACAACAACTGACGATACCAAGTGTTGGTGAGTTTGTGGAGAACTAGCAACTAGATACATTGCTGGCCGGCTTGTTCAACCACTTTGGAAAACTTTACTGGGCAGTAAAGCAAAACATGTCTACCCCATAACCCAGCAGTTCCACACCTGGTATTTGTCAAAGAGAAATTAGTGCATATATCCCCCAAAGGTTGTGCATTAGAATGCCCACCTTAGCTTTATTGGAATAGCCCCTAATGGGAAACAACCCACATGTCCATCAATAAATAGTAGAATAGATAAATATGTTATATGTATATAATGGGCTATTAACAAAAAATAGCATTACAAATACATGCCAAACATGGTTAAATCTCACAGACATTATGGTGAACTAAAAAAAAACTAGACCCAAAAGGACACTGACTGTCTGATTTATATGATGTTCAGGACCAGGCACACTAATCAGTGATAATAGAAGTCAGAATGGACTTCCTTTAGAGGGATAGTATTGGCCCAGAAGGGACACAGGGGACTTCTGGAGTAGGAATGTTCTATATCACTCTCTGGGTGGTAGTTACACAGGGATATATATACTTTATTTTTTTGGATAGAGTTTTTCAGAGAGGGTGTTTGTCTCTTTGCCTATAAGCCATATCCTACTCCAGTGCCACAGTCACCTCTCCAAGCAGAGTGTCCCTTCTAAAAATTATATGGGTATTGACTTCTAAGGAGAGGGCTTTGTGGAACCCTGGAATGGAAAGATTGATATTTGGCAGATTAACATAGATCTAGTCAAGCAACGGGAAGAAACATGAGATCATATTATTGGATGACTAATTCTGGGCATGAAAAGTGGAGTTGAAGCATTAGCAAATCAAACTAGAGTTTCATTGCCTTTTTGTCCTCCCCCCTTGTTGTATTGAGTTGTTTCTCCTTAAGTTTTTCTATTTTCTTTGTCATCTGCCACGTAGAGGAAGTCTCAGTTGCACAGGTTTATTGACAAACTCTGGAGCATTAGTTGAATAAGACCTTTCATTTTCCATACCACTTTACTTGGAGAGCTTTCAATCAACAATAGCCCGTATTACCTTATAGCATATACTCATTTAGGCCCCACCTTGTTCCAAGAGGGACTGGAGTAAATTACAGTATACGCACAGCAAGTGAAATAAAATAAATATACTTGGAAATTGGAGCACAAAACAAACAGAAAAGCCACTAGGCAGCCACAGATGTGATCTAAGCTTTTTAGTAGCCAAAATAAAGAGGGAAGCCAATAAATGAATAAGATTCATAAAGACAATAAGATAAAAAAAACAGATCAGTTATAAAGTGGACTACATCAGAATTAAAAACTTTTGTGCTGCAAATGGAACCATGAATAAGTGAAAAGGGTCCTAACCAGTTTGGATCAGTGAATAGAGCGTCAGCCTGTGGACTGAAGAGTCCCAGGTTCGATTCCAGTCAAGGGTGGGCTCAATCCCCAGGAGGGGGCGTGCAGAAGGTAGCTGATCAATGATACTTCTCATTGATGTTTTTATCTCTCTCTCCCTCTCCCTTCCTCTCTGAAATAAATAAGTATTTTTTTTAAAGAAAGAAAGTGAAAAGCAACATACAGAATGGTTGAAAAGAAAGGCCAAATAACTCAAATTTTAAAATTGGTAAAAAAATTTAATAGACATTTCCCACAGAAATACATATAGTCAATAAGCACATGAAAAGATGTTCAACATCATTAGACATCAAAGAAATACAAATCAAAACTATAATGATATATCACTTTACACACATAAGGATAGCTGTAACCAAAAAGACAGGTAATAACAAGTGTTGGTAAGAATGTGTAGAAATTAGGACCCTCATACACTACTGGTGAGGATGTAAAATGGTGCAGCCCTTTAAAGCTAATCTGACAGTTCCTTAGATGATTACACATATAGTTACCATGTGACCCAGCGGTTCCACTCCAAAGTTGTATATCCCAGATAAATTAAAATATCCAAACAAAAAAATGTATTTAAATGTTCATAGCATTCATTGTGATAGCCAATAAATGGAAACAACCCAAATGTCCATCAACTAATGAATGGATAAACAAAATGTGGTATATCCCTACAATGGAATACTGTCTATATATAAAAGGCTAAGTGACCGACCGTAAATCTGTCCAACCAGCTGGTACATATGTTGCGTACTGGCAATTTATTTATTTTTTAACATATTTCTTTTTTGATTTCAGAGAGGAAGGGAGAAGGAGAGAGAGATAGAAACATCAATGATGAGAGAGAATCATTGATCAGCTGCCTCCTGCACACCCCTTACTGGGGATTGAGCCCACAACCCAGGCATGTGGACCCTTCAGTCCACAGGCTAACGCTTTATCCACTGAGCCAAGCCGGCTAGGGCCGTACTGGCAATTTAAAAATAAACGTTGACCCTCAGTGGATTAAGCTTCATCTCGGGCACCAAGAGGTCACTGGTTTGATTCCCAGTTTGATTCCCTGTCAGGGCACATGTGTAAGTTGTGGGCTTGATCCCAAGTAGGGAGTGTACAGGAGGCAGCTGATCAATGTTTCCTCTCTCATTGATGTTTCTATCTCTTCCCCTCCCTTCCTCTCTCTCTAAAAAAAATCAATAAAAACATCTAAAAATCAATTAAAACATTTTTAAAAAATAAATGAATAGCCCTAGCTGGTTTGGCTCAGTGGATAGAGTATCGGCCTGAGAACTGAAAGGTCCCAGGTTTGATTCCGGCCAAGGGCACATGCCCGGCTGTGGGCTCGATCCCCAGTGGGAGGCTTGCAGGAGGCAACCAATCCATGATTCTCTCTCATTATGGATGTTTCTATCTCTCTCTCCCTCTTCCTTCCTCTCTGAAATCAATAAAAATATTTTTTAAATAAATAAATAAAAAATAATAAAAATAAACGTTGACTCACACATGTGCGATACATGTAAAGCTCTCGCTGGCGCCAATTGCACGTATCAGTATACAGGGAGATATTAGAATAAGTTTAATCAATTTATCAGTCATTGTTTTTACCAGTGTTGTTTTTATATCATGTTTTTAGTGTTATCATGTTGTTATTATTTATTTATCAATTTACATATTATTTTCATATACATTTTACTAATTTTCATCTCCCACACTTCTGTTATAGAGAAAGGGCAAATAACAATATTAAAATATTTCTTCTAAATTTTTTTTTAATGTGCACAAATCCGTGCACCGGGCCACTAGTTCAGTCATAAAAAGGAATGAAGTAGTGATACATGCTTCAACATGAATAAACTTTGAAAACATTATGCTAAGGTAGTGATTTTTAACTGGTATGCTACAAGAATTTTTAAAACATGCAATACCTGACTATTTAGTTTAGAGCACTAACCTCTTTTCTCTTAGATTGTCAAATAAAAAATGACAATAGTGCCCTAGCCAGTTTGGCTCAGTGGATAGAGCATCAGCCTGCGGACTGAAGGGTCCCAGGTTCGATTCCACTCAAGGGCATGTACCTTGGTTGCGCGCACATCAGGAGGCAGCTGATTGATGTTTCTCTCTCATCGATGTTTCTAACTCTCTATCCCTCTCCCTTCCTCTCTATAAAAAATCAATAAAATATATATTTTTAAAAAATAACAATAGTCAACACAATAGCTGACCAGTGTGAATGAATCAAAATTATACCTATGTTTTTTGTTAGATCAGCAAAAAATATATATTTTTGGTGTGGCACAGAATTTTAGTAACTAGTTTATGTGTGCCATGAGATGAAAGAAACTGAAAATTGCTGTGCTGCCCTAGCTGGTTTGGCTCAGTGGCTAGAGTGTCAACCTATGGACTGAAAAGTCTTGAATCAATTCCCAGTCAAGGGTTTGAAGGTTCAATTCCCCCCACCCCCCTGGGGCACGTGCAGGAGGCAATCAGTAGATGTGTCTCTGTCACATCGATGTTTCTCTCTTTATGTCTTTCCTGTCCCTTTCTACTCTCTCTAAAAATCAATGAAAAATAGCCTCAGGTGATGATTAATGACAACAAAAAATAATAAACAAATAAGTAAATAGTAAATAAATACTTATTTTAAAAGAACAGAAAATTGCCCTAGCCAGTTTGGCTCAGTGGCTAGAGCATCACCCTGCGGACTGAAGGGTCCCGGGTTTGATTCCAATCAAGGGCACATACCTTGGTTGCAGGTTCCTCCCCGGCCCTGGCCCTGGTTGGGGCACGTGCAGGAGGCAACCAATCAATGTGTTTCTCTTACATTAATATTTCTCTCTGTCTTTCCCTCTTCCACTCTCTCTAAAAAATCAATGGAAAAATATCCTCGGGTGAGGATTAATAAAAAATAAAAGAAAATCACTGTGCTAAGTGAGAGAAGCCAGTAACTAAAATCACATATTGTATGATTCCATTTATATGAAATATCCAGAGTAGCAAATCTAGGATTAAGAGGCAGGTATGAGAGAGGGAAATGGGTTTATTTCAAGGTGATGAAAATGTTCTAACCATAGGTTATAGTGAATAAACTTTGCACAACTCTATTAAAATCATTGAACTGTACACTTTAACCAAGTCAATTTTATGGTATACTAGAAGCCCAGTGCACGAAATTCGTGCACTCGGAGGGGGGGTCCTGGGCCTAAGCTGTCAGTTGGACATCCTTAGAGCTGCTGCGGAGGTGGAAGAGGCTCCTGCCACCACCACTGCACTCATCAGCTGTGAGCCCGGCTTTTGGCGCACTGACCACCAGAGGGCAGCTCCTGCATTGAACATCTGCCCCCTGGTGGTCAGTGCGCATCATAGCGACTGGTTGTTCTGCCGTTCAGTAAATTTGCATATTAGGATTTTATTATATAGGATAAATTCTATTTCAGTAAAGAAAAAAGGTCCGTTTCTCAGTTTTAAATGACTGTTTCTAAAATGCCCTTCAATATAGGCTGGTATCTTTTTTTTTTTTTTTACGTATTTTTACTGAAGGGAGAGGGAGAGAGAGATAGAAATATCAATGATGAGAGAGAATCATCCATCAGCTGCCTCCTGCACGCCCCCTACTGGGGATCCAGCCCGAGACCTGAACATGTGCCCTTAACCAGAATCAAACTTGGGACCCTTCAGTCTGCAGGCCAGTGCTCTATCCACTGAGCCAAACCGGCTACAGCCAGGCCAATATCTTTTTTTTTTTAATATATTTTATTGATTTTTTACAGAGAGGAAGGGAGAGGAATAGAGAGTTAGAAACATCGATGAGAGAGAAACATTGATCAGCTGCCTCCTACACATCTCCTACTGGGGATGTGCCCGCAACCAAGGTACATGCCCTTGACCGGAATCGAACCTGGGACCTTTCAGTCTTCAGGCCGACGCTCTATCCACTGAGCCAAACCGGTTAGGGCCTGGCCGATATCTTAATACCCAATGCAAAAAGCAATTCTAGGAGGGCCCCAAACAATGTAATACTAGTACATATTTTGCCACATAGCTTTTAAACTCTAATTAGGCCAACACTTGGTATACAATTTCAGGCAATGCTTTGTTCTCCCTCTTCCTCACACTTGGGCTTGATATACTGTTTGAAGGCATTATGGTCTTCTTGAGAAAGTTTATTTGTTCTATTTGAGGAGATTAGAGAGGGTGTGACATTGCTTTAGCACATGCCTACATATGGTTGACAAATGTAAGCACTTGATAAGTTGATTCCAAGTTTCCATTTTCACATTGCGTTAGGAAGTTAACTTTCCATTCTCCCATTTCTCCTGTCTTGCGGATATATAAAGCCTAAGGCAGGGCAAGCTGTTACTGTTCATTATTCTTCCCTGCCTTCTTTTAAAAGTTGGTATTTGTGGAACTGACAGGGTTCTCCTAATAGGATCGTTCTTGCAACTACAACCTATAACCTTTTCATATTTTAGGGCTTTTACTGTCTTAACAGAAGATGCAATGAAGTTTACCTATTGGTATTAATGGTTTCCTTTTCTCTCACTGAGGAAGAAGAAGGCCTTCTTAGTAATTGGGCTTCTCTCTCACACAGTGAATGAAAGTCACATTGTTGGAAATATGAGCCTCTGTTGTATCTCTAATCCCAGATGGTACATGAATTGTATCCAGAATTGAACAGTTTTATGCCTTTGCCAGCTTAGTACTCCACACCTGGACAAGATATAACCCTTCACTTATAATCCGTTTTTCTCTCCTTTCAAATGCCAGTATGTTATTCAAAGGCCTTTTTTTATTGTTAAGTAATTTAAAACAATTGGACTCCACATAAGTTGCTTGAGAACAATCACAAGAAATTTTAGGTATGTTTTTTTAATAGGACCCAGCAGCAGCTCATTTAATACCATCTGAGCTATTACCCAAGAATGGTTGTAATGTTAAATTATTTGACTCTATGTGAATGTCAAGACATAAATTAGCATCTGGCTACTTAAAATCAGGAAAACGCCCTAGCCAGTTTGGACTGAAGGGTCCTGGGTTCGATTCCAGTCAAGGGCACAAACTTCAGTTGCAGGCTCAATTCCATGTCCTGGTCAGGGCAAGTGCAGGAGACAACCAATCCATGTGTCTCTCACATGGATGTTTCTCTCTGTGTGTCTCTCTCCCTCCCTTCCACTCTTTCTAAAAGTCAATGGCAAAGCATCCTCGGGTGAGGATTAACAACAAAAAAGTAAATAAATAAAAAAGTAAGAAGCAGAAAAAAATAAAATCAGGAAAGCAACATAACTCTTGGTTTCTATAGACAGCTTGACTGACTCCATGGACTTAGGTGTAGATGCCATTAGCTGAAAGGTTCCCATGCTCCCTGAAATGTTAGAAACTCCTCACCTCACATTGCCCCTGCCCCCAATTTAGTTTTTTCACAATAATCCTCTTGCTTCTCTAATTAGTGGACTTTTATTATGGATGGGAATAGTCTAAAAGGTAGGACCCGAGGATGTCTGCTGGCAGCATTGCTGTTGGTTTACTCACTCGTTTTCTGTCTTCATTTTTGCATGCCACTGCTCCTGCCTCTTACAGCCACAGTAGAAGCGGTAGAGGCCCAGGAAGGTATGGCCATATTCCTGTGATAGATGTGATCATGTGTCTGTCTACTGGTTTTAAAAAGCTTTGTCCACATTTGAAATCTTTTATTATTGCATCACCAGAACTGTAACCGTGAGAAAAGGAATAGGTATTTCTAGGCATGCTCACAAAGTATTACAAATGACCCTCTCCACAGCTAAAGTCCTTTCTGGGCTGTTTTAATGTAATGGCTGAAGTGTAGGCAATTGGTCAAGAGGGACCAAGTGGGTTAATCCTCTAGCTCAGCGGTTCTCAACCTGTGGGTTGTGACCCTTTTGGCGGTCGAACGACCCTTTCACAGGGGTCACCTAAGACCATCCTGCATATCAGATATTTACATTATGATTCATAACAGTAACAACAACATTACAGTTATGAAGTAGCAACGAAAATAATTTTATGGTTGGGTCACAACATGAGGAACTGTATTTAAAGGGCCAGAAGGTTGAGAACCACTGCTCTAGCTCTTCCATATATAAGAGATTACTAGAGATTCAAACAGGCCAACCTCTTTATCCAACGATAATAAGAGCAGAGGCAAAAGTAGACAGGAAGTTAATTTGGTTAATTTCTGAGGTTGGCCTAAGTCAGTCAAGCTAAATTATCTTTGTTTCTATGAAAGCAAATTTGAAGTAACAAATTATCTGCAAATCTGTGGATGAAAACCATTGTAATTCATATTGTTTTATAAATTTGTTTTATTAGGTAAGGTGATTCAAAATGGGAATGGTTTCCTTGACAATACAAAAATTCAATCAAAGAAAATATCTAAAAGCTATTGTTTAGATGGCTTTTAAGTTATGTTCAGCTCCTGGTTGTGCAAGATAAAAAGCTGTCCTTATAAACAAAAAGACTAGTTCTTTTGTTACTTTTTTTCTGTGGTCAATGTGATGTTTGCGCTTAAGTAACTACTCTGTTTAACCTGTTCTATTATTCTAGCATTTCCTTTTTTTCTCTCCCATTGAGCACGTTTCTGGCATAAGAAACTCTTTCCTAAATGTTCTGGGACTAAGGAGGAACTTGTTTCCTTTTTGTCAGGTATACTTCTGCTATATCTAATTGTGTTGTGCTCCTATGAAAATTACTTTCACAGTTTCAGCTGCCCTGGGGGCCTTGAAAATTGGTAGCTTTGCCCTGACTGGTTTGGCTCAGTGGATAGAGCGTTGGCCTGCGGACCAAAGGGTCCCAGGTTCTATTCCAGTCAAGGGCATGTACCTTGGTTGCGGGCACATCCCCAGTAGGAAGTGTGCAGGAGGCAGCTGATCATAACTCTCTATCCCTCTCCCTTCCTCTCTGTAAAAAATCAATAAAATATATATATATTAAAAAGAAAAAAAAAGAATTGGTAGCTTCAAGTCAAAGCTAATTCAAATCAAATATTGCCTGTTATCCTCACCAGCCATGTGCTCCCTGGCCACTCTTCTGTGTTTTTCTCTAGGAGGCTGCTGTGTGCTAAGAAACTTGAAGCTTGTCGCTTTGCTGTCTAATTGAGCTCCTCCCTTTCCTGTTTTTCTGTAGCCATCAGAGGGTTTTCGCATCAGCACAGGATCCGGAGTTTTGATGAAGCCCGAGGTCTGGACCTAATTAATGAGCGGATGCCACCCCGAAAAGATAGCCAAGGGAAGTTGGCAACCCCCGTACAATCTAATACTTCGCACAGGAGCGAGAAGGGAAAAGCCAGCCATGACTCAGAGCCCAGCGGTGGCACAGGTGGACCCAAAACTTAAGAGCAAATTGTATTTATTTATTTATTATTGGAAAACAAAACAAAGCAACTTAAACCTGGAGGTGCATTCATAATATACACTCTGCATTTATTCTGGAAGAAAGGTGACCATTTTATAAATTCTTCTAATTTATGTCTAACATAAATATAAGCAGCGCATCTGTTTTGTTTTCCCTTTTCTTCTTAATTTTTAGGAACTGATCTGCTTGACTGATACATATGTGAGGTTTTGTGCTATAAGAGGCACCTTCTCCTAATAAAAGGGCCTTGGAAACCTCCACCCTGGGTTTCTGACTTGAACCAGCCAGACTTTCTCTTGTTTTTAGAATGTAATGTCTTCCATTGCAGACTAATAACTTTTCAAACACAGAAAGGTTTTTTCCTTTCTACATGGTACCATTGAAGAAGATCTCTTAGATTTCAGTGGCTTAAACTTCTCTTCTTATGGAAAACTTGATTATAGTAGAATTTGTAAGTGAATAACCGAAACCCAGTGATTTTAAGAGCCAAAGGGAATGTTTTCCATAACCCACTTTCTTCTGGACTCTCAGTTCTTTTTACTATGTTCTGGTAAGGCAGAATAAAAGGTAATGAGGGATTTCTTAGAATTACTTAAAATTTGTTCATCTAGCTCTGGGCATGGCTGGTTTAAACTTCCCTTAAAACTTGGGAGGTTTCTTAAATGTTGCCAGATTCTTTGGCTTTCATTTTTGGACCCAGGTGATTTACTCTGTCTACAAAGGAAGCTACATGTCTAAATATTTTATAAATGCCCTCTGTACAACCTTCAGTATAAGCACTTATGCCCTCCTGTGTATTGCATCAGCTATTATAGCATCTATTCTCCCATTGTCCTTTTTTCTGTGTCAGCATTTTTTTAATCAACTGGGATAATGAAAACAGACTAGGGTAGAATGATCCCTTATGAATCAGAGGTCTTGCTAAAGGGCATTGGACGAGTGAGGAATTTCATATATTCTACATCAATTACAGGGTGTTTATCTTTCAACACTCATCAGGTTGAACTGTCTGTCAGCATATTGTGGAATACGAAGACAAGTGTTCAGATATAATGTTTGAATAATCATCCCTTGATTTTTCAAGTCACAACCAACTGGGAAGAAAACCTCGGGGGTTCTTGGGCTCCCATTTTTGGTTTTACCTGGTGACAGGTGCTATGTCATAATACTCATTGGCCAACTTTGCAGTAAGTGTGCATATCTGGGCAACACTACACCAAAGTGCATATTTATGGAATTCCTTCATGTCATTTGGGCTGTAGGAGTCCAGCACAAGAGCACGTATCTCAGACAGTAAGACCTTATGTTGGGAACTTCAAGGACAACAGAAACTTTATCCAAAAAACTATTTCATTAGAAATATCTCTGTTTTCTATATCTTTTGTTAACAGTTTCCAGTCTGTTTATGACAACGATCAGAGCATTGAAGGGATTGTAATTTGATGATGTGAATTAGTCTGCTTAACCAGATAGGAAGGATCCCCAGCTGGTGTGGCTCAGTTGGTTAGAGCATCATCCTGTACACTGAAAGGTCACAAGTTGTTTCCTGTCATGACACATGTAGGTTTCAGGTTCTGTCCGTGGGGGGCGGGGGGGGTGAGGGGGGGGACCAATAGATGTTTCTCTTTCTCCCTCTTCCTCTCTCTCTAAAATCAGTAAAAAAGCATGTTCTCCGGTGAGGATTAAAAACCATATTAAAAAAAGGTAAGAAGGATATTGAGGACAGAGAGGAAAGATCTCGTGCTGGGTTGCAGTAAAAACTGTGCAAGAAGGGAGAAAAAGTCTTTACTGATGGCCATTTCTTTACAATGGAATTCGTCACCTGGGTATCCTCAGCCTGCTTCTCTCTGTCCCAGGATAGAAAAGATCGCTGTTCTGGGAGTCTCACCTAAAGTGAAAGGCAGTCCACGTGACACATTTGATAGATGGGGGTCCCTTATCCCTTTCTCCTCTTCACTGAGGCGGTGGTTTTACATACACAACCCACAGGTAGAAACCACTCTTCTGGGCTTCAGGCGCAGGCAAGTAGTGGAATAGTTATTATACATCCATATAAGCAAGAAATGATATTGTGCTAGTAAAAAGGATGCTTATTTAGGACTGTCTTTATTATCCTCTCAAAAAGAAGCAGTGCGGTCAAGCAAGTGTCCTTGACAGGCATGGCCAAAGGATGTACCTCACAGGTGCCCTTTGAGCTGTTGAAGGATCCGCCACAGCAGAGAGGTGAGAAGTCGTCATCCAAGAAAACTGGAGTTTAAAATGCAGCAGCAACAGGTCTTGAAGGACGTTAGGTTTGAAAATCCTGTTGAATTCTAAAGGAAAAGGTATTTCTGATATTCTGTAGAAAGCTGGGGTGTGTGTTTCAAGAATTTAAAAAGCTGTGTGTGAAGTGTATCTGTAAGGTACAGATAGCTTCTTAAAGTGACACTGTCACTCGGTGTACCTACATAGGCTGGCCCCTCTGACTGAAGACAGGTTAGAGGCATGAACCTTAAGAATATAAACTCTGGGTGGGGGTGGGGGGGTCAATTGGTTAGAGCATCGTCCCAATAGGCCAGGGTTGTGGATTCGATCCCCAGAAAACTGTATAGCCCGGCCAGTGTGGCTCTATGGATTGAGCCTTGTCCCATGCACCAAGAGGTCACCAGTTCCATTCCTGGTCAGGGCACATACAAGAATCAACCAATGAATGCATAAATGGGTGGAACAACAATTTGATGTTTCTGTCTTTCTCAAATCAATAAATAATTTTTTAAAAAAGGAATAAATTGTAATCACAGTACTTGTTCTTCGTTCCAGATTTCATTGGAGGGTACAGCATATTTTTAAACATTTTAATCTAAACAGCAACTCCCAAGATGGCTGATTGGCTGCCCTGAATTTGCCTTAGGACCACTATCTCCATCATTTCAACGAACGTTCTAACTGCAGTCAGAGGTCTGAGGATTGCTGTTTTCAAAGCCTCTTTACTCAGTCTCCCCCCTGCATGCTCTAAAGATCCTAAAAATACTTCATTCTTGTTCTCCTTCACTTTAAGATCCACAGTGACCTTTTTTCTTCAACTTCTCTTATTGGGGGGGGGGGGGAATGAGGGCTTCTTTATAAACATTTGTGGAATTCCATTTTAGACATGACACTTCTTAAGGACCAGTTTTCCCAATTTCATCTACATCCACATCATGTGAAATTTCAAATTGACCAGATGACAATTTTGTAAATAGATATTTGAAAACTCACCCTGGCTGGTGTGGTTCAGTGGTTAGAAAGCCAGCCCAAGCACTGAAGAGTCATGGGTTTGATTCCTGATCAAAGACATGTCACGTACCTGGGTTGCAGGTTCGATCCCCAGCCCTAGCCCAGGCGCATGTGGGAGGCAACCAATTGATGTTTCTCTATCTCCTCTCTCTCTCTCCCCCTCCCTCCCTTCCACTCTCTAAAAATTAATGGAGAAAATATCCTTGGGTGAGAATTAACAAAAAAAAAACTACTCATCTAACATCAGTTCAAAACACATCCTTTTTAAATCTCTGTGTTCTGAATATTTGGAGCAAAAAAACCAAACAAACCTATAAGCCGTGTGTGTGTGTGTGTGTGTGTGTGTGTGTGTGTGTGTGTGTAATAGAATGCTAAAACAAAAGCAGCCTCAGCTTTCTTTAAAACAGCGAGGTCACACCAGTTATGGGTACAGACACTATTGATTCCATGGCCTTTTGTGACTAGATATTAATCAGTGCAATAGAAATTGCTCATCACACTCGGGTGGGCTTGATGTGGCTCCTTGCCTAGGACAGACGCATCAGACTCTCGGGAATATCAATATATTTCATCTCCTTTTATCTATATTTACACTGCCTTTTTGTTCCTATAGTTACTTATCCTGATAACTTGGACATAAGTTCAAAATAAGTAAAGAAAAATTCCTCATTATTTTGTCACAGAATGATATTAATGACAAGGGTAGGATTTCTTCAAATTGGATAACTTTGGGGCCTTTCAGCCTGGTGTTGTCCCTTAGATCCTCTTCTGAGTAATTTTAAAACACAAAGTTTGAACCCTAGCTGGTTTGGCTCAGTGGATAGAGCGTCAGCCTGCGGACTGAAAGGTCCCAGGTTCGATTCCAGTCAAGGGCATGTACCTTGGTTGTGGGCACATCCCCAGTAGGAGGTGTGTAGGAGGCAGCTGATGGGTGTTTCTCATTGATGTTTCTAACTCTCTATCCCTCTCTCCTTTCCTCTCTGTAAAAAATCAATAAAATATATTCAAAAACAAAAACACAAAGTTTGAGTCAGCTGCTCTCTATAAGAAAAATTGTATTGCCTGGCCAGTGTGGCTGTATGGATTGAGCCTTGTCCCATGCACCAAGAGGTCACCTGTTCCATTCCTGGTCAGTGCACATGCCCTGGTTGCTGGCTCGGTCCCAATTAGGGGGCATGCGGGAGGCAGGGAATCAATATTTCTGTCTCATCATTGATATTTCTATCTTTCCCTCTCCCTTCCTCTCTCCAAAAATCAATAAAAACACTTTAAAAATATCACAGACCACCCCTAACCGGTTTGGCTCAGTGGATAGAGCGTCAGCCTGCGGACTGAAGGGTCCCAGGTTCCATTCCGGTCAAGGCATGTACCTTGGTTGGGGGCATATCCCCAGTGGCGGGGGGGGGGTGCAGGAGGCAGCTGATCGATGTTTCTCACTCATCATTGTTCCTAACTCTATCCCTCTCCCTTCCTCTCTGTAAAAAAATCAATAAAATATATTTATAAAATAAAATAAAAATATCAGCCCATGTCTGTGCGAGGTACAGCGGGGCTTCCTGCTCTGGCATCACGAGCGTCTCCAGCCTCGCAGAGTGACAGTGGCTAAGAGTGGTTTCCTCTGCCCTCCTGTTTCATGCCAACATTGTAGACAACAGCCAGAATTTTGTACTGTACCTTATCTATAAATAGAATTCACACGGTCTTGAGAATTAAGTTCATCCTGACCAATCTGGGTGACCAGTCAGTCAAAACCGTTTTTAGAAAGAGCTCGCCCCAGGTTGACTGATTTAGAGTTTTTCCTTGTGTTAATTATCAGATATTTCCCCTTCAGTGTTGGTGCTGAAAATTATTTCCAAACCCATAAAGACTTGTTGAGGACATTCTAGAATCCCCCGTATTATTATAGTTGTTACAGTAACTGTGGAACCCACTTTTTTCAAAGCTTTATTCAGTGTTCCCTACCCAGGCAGAAAAGATTTCAGAGGACGAATCCCCTAGTTGTGGAAATGAGGCTGCTGTTTCCTA